CCAATTAAAAATAAGATTAATACAATAATTTCATCTCTTACAGTACATGCACTTTCCTCAAATGTTCTTTCAAAACAGAAAAGAATCCACCATGCCAACTACAAAATCCACTAGCCCTCTCTGCACACTGCCATTGTATATTTTACAAATTTTCTCAATGTTATGATTTTGAAGCTCAATCAAGTGACTGTGGATGATGAAGAAGGAAGCCATGACAGCCTTACATTCCAACAGCTACAGACCATGTTACTGGAACAGTTTGGTGAGAATTTTTTTTCTTTTTGTGGCTTTCAACTTCAAGAAATAATCTTGTTACAATTAAGTGCTTTTTTATAAGCTTCATGTGCCAGATATAAAACAGTTTGATTTTTCTATAAGTTATGATTTGGATGTACATGCATGTGGTTGTTGTCTTGTGGCAGGAATTCATTTCTGTGAGTGACTATTTTTTCATACCTTCTTTTATAATATAGATACATGTAGGACCCTGTGCACATTCTGATTGGTCAAAAACCCATGTTTTATCAGAGTATAAAACATAGAAAAAGCGTGTTTTATTCTTTTTCTCCACATTACCTCTGTATGATGAAGCAAATGATGAAGCCTTAACCGTGTATTACATGTACACTGTGATAAAATGCGACGGGCATTTGAGGACAAGGGGGAAATGTTGAAAACACAAGCCGCAGGCGAGTGTTTTCTACATTTCTTGAGTGTTCTCAAATGTCCAGAGTGTTTTTATCACAGTGTAATACACAGCTTAGGCTTTCTTATTTGTTAAATAATTTTTTATGTTTTGTGTATTTTTATTGGTAGGTATATACAGTTTATTTGTAGCTCTTTTCTGAATTGCTGGGTATTTTTTATAGGTGAGGCTCACTTTAACGCATATCAGAAACCTTTGTTGTACTTTCAAGTTCTGTTTTTAACAGGCCAGTTTGAAGCAGTAAGTTAACATCAAACCAGTAATCTCAAATTTATTATGTAATAATTATTTTTATAGTGGACTGTAATTGTAGTTGCTGAATGAGGAAATAAGTAATACTAGATGAGTAATAATAGATGAGAGACAATATTATTTTATTGCAAAATGACTTAAAGAAGTGTAATGCAGTATAACACAAGGAAAATGTCCGAAGTAATTCTGTAAATGATTGTATCTTTTGACAGGCCATCGAGTTCTTATCCCGTGTCGAGACCTTCAGGAGTCATGCTGTGCACTTTGCCATTGCACTTTTTAAGATGCATCTTCTCCTGTTACCAGATTCAATCCAAGCTCAGCTTTGTAAGTACATGTATTTTGTTACTTGTCCTGTTTTGGGGGTTCTTTAGATAGGCAGCCTGCTTTTCTCTATTTCAGTTTTAGTAAGGCTGTGGTCTAAGAGAAATTTCGAGGAGTCCAAAGGTTCTTAACTATGAAATCCTGGGTGCCCAGCACTTAAGCTTATATGAGAAAGTGAGTTTTTCCAGTCATTCAAAGGCAAAAGTTAGTCGCCTGTGCACCTGGGCACTTCTAGGGTACACCCCTGGTTGTAGCCATATGTTATTTTCCACACATTCAAGACTTTAACAATGCAATGTGCAAATTGGTCATCCTTTTTCTGCTCAGTTTATCATTACTTCTTTGCTGTTTTCTACCTTGATAGACCATTGTTTGATTTTTCTGTGAGTTTGAAGGCCAATTGTTTTTTTTTACGTAAAGACTGTACAGTTAACAAATATGGTTGGTATATATGGTAACAGAGCCCACGTAAGGACCAACCTAAGCTAGTAATATACTACCCACATTCACTGAACACACTTTAGCTTCCTTGATTTACAATGTAGTTCATGACAGTCTGCAATGTGATCTAACAGGTCAAATATGGACCGCATTTGACAAACAGCTGAAACTGTTTGTTATGGTGGCCAAAACTTTTAATGATGGTAATGTTTGTGTTCACTACAGTGACACCTTTCTCTGGAGATCCTCCACCCAGTAGAAGATTGAACTTTGCTCGACTGATCATGTCTTATACTCGGAAATTTGAGGTTACAGATCCTCGAGAGGCTCTGCAATATTTTTTCTTGTTGAGGTAGACTGAAGTGAGAATCAAGCTGTTCTTGCTGTTCTTAATATGTACATAATTTAATATTTAATAGACATTTGAGTATGTGTAGCAACCTCTATGCCATAAAAAGTCTGGTACATGACTGTACCAATATACATGCACAGGAGAAAGGTTGTCCCACAGCATCATATTTAAGCGAATGCTGAAAGGTATTATGGCTAGTGATAGTTAGCCACTGCTTGATGAACGTTTGCTGTGTTTCACAGTGAAGGAAGGAGACACCAGGCACTTGGTTAGTCTTTCTATAGCATTTAAGATGGATTCCGCTCAAAGTTTGAGCTTTAAGTGCAAAAATTATTTACTAAAAATCAACTCATAGCACGGTAACTTTTGGAATACTATCTAAAACAACTCACTTTAGTTCACTTCTTTAAGTGACCACATGATTAAAGTCTCGAGCATTCTCAAGAAAGTTAATGTCAAACCTCATAAGAATGCTTAAAGTGTTTGTTGTTGTGTTTTCAACTAGAGCGAAACGTCTGTTTGAAGTGAAATATAGATAACTTCAAGTTCAATTTTCTTTCGTGGGGTCAGCCTGAGAGCTTAAGTCTATAAGTTCTTATTATATCTCTCAGGTAGTGTTTGTGCTGTGATTGGTCAGTTTAGCAGGCTGTATTCTACTGTGCGGCCTGCTAAAATTTAAAGCCGTTATTGTTGCCAAAATGTTTTGTGATTTATTGCCAAGTTTTCTTAACTTTTTTAGCAAGTAAAAGTTTAAAACTTTCTTTTACTTCTGAAATTGTATATTAAAACCGGCTAACGACGTAAGAGTCATTTAACAACAATTTCAAATTGACTCGTTTTGCTTTCGAGGTGCGTCAGAAATTTGAAGCCATTCCGCATGAGTAGAAATCGTTCCCGAACCCATCAGACACATGGTAGAGATATAATAAATATCTTACTAACCTCGTTTTCTTGGTCCGTACTGTAAGTTACGGAACCTCGTTTTTCCCCTTCGATTTATGGCCCCACGCTTTGCACTTGGGCCATAAATTGATGAGGAAAAAACTCGGTTTGTAACTTACAGTACGGCCCGCAAACTCGGTTAGTAAGATGTTTTTCTTAACTGTATTTAAAATAACACCATGCCATGAGGGTTTTTGGTAACTTAATTTTGGCCATTATTGCACGAATGTTCTGCAGAAATCATCTTAAACATTGTGAACTTCAATTGAGCAGTGGTAAACTACATTGTACCTGTCCACTACCCATGATACCTATTAGCACTGTTGCAGATGCTTTTATACCTCAGTAGTACAACCTTTTCAAAACTGATAATGGCTTGCTGCTACATAAAAAAGCTTTTCAGAAGCATAACACCATTCAAGGTCAGGGAAAAGTCAGGGAGTTTTGTATCAGGTCAGGAAATGTCTAAATGTTCAAAGTCAGTGAAAAGTCAGGTAACTTTATCTTCAGGTTGCTGCAAATTATTTTATTAGATGTTTTCATATAGTGTTCCAGTGGGTGGCAACCCCAATATCATTGACCATATATTGACAAGAGTAACATGAAGTATGCAGCTATACCTAAGTACTATTTTATGAACATTATATTAAACTTTGAGAGAAAGTAGGTGGACATTCAGCTCCAAATTATTGATGTTAGAGCTGCAGAAGTAGTTCAGTTATCCTTTGAAAGAGAATGGTTGCATTTGACAGATGTTGGTCACAGCTTACCAGTTCTTGATGATATCAGAGTCAAATCTCCCACAAATAAACACCCTCGGGAACTCAAAAGTGTCTGCCAGAAGGTTCCTGTATATGGCCGAGATCATGACTAGGTGTCCATCGAGTGGAAGTTAGCAAGGGTTGAAACTGTAGCCCCTATTAGGCCATATTATTTTATTCATCTTATTGAATTTTAGGGGAATGAATGGCCCACAGGGTGAAGACCTCTTTATGTCTTGTATAAGTGAACTGGTTTTGGAAACTAGAGAAGTAAGTTGGAAAAGGGAGGTTTACTAATTGCTTACTTTATTAATTGACTGACTTACTGACTTACCAACTGACCAACTAACCTACCAAACTACCCATCTGCTAACTGACGGACTGATGATTAGATGGATACGCAGATCAACAGTCATTTGTTTGTTCATTCATTCATTCATTCATTCATTCCCTTTTGTGTTTTTTAAAGTTTGAAATGTTACTTGGCCGCCTAGAACCAGATGGAAAGAGAAATGTAAGAAAATATGATCATTTTACATTAGTTGAAAAAATGGCAGTTTACTTCTCTCTGTAAAATTTCATTTCATTTAAGTTTCATTAATAATTATTGTTCTTTTTGTTTTGTCTTAGCCTGGTTGCATTGACAAGTTTCACAAAGATACACTAAAGATAATTGAGCTTGTGGCCAAAGATTCTGCAGAGAAGGGTCTCTCTGAAGAGGCAGTCAAACTTTATGATCTAGCCAAGGTACATACAATGTGTATTCCTGTTTGTATTTATTCCACCATGATTTCCCCTTTCATCATGGGTTTGGTGCGTACTTCTATCACGCAACCTTTATGTATGTTAATATTACAGAATCATGAAAAAGCATTGGTAATCTTGAACAAGCTCTTGAGTCAGGTAAGCTTCTTCACCTCTATTTGCAAAGCTTGCAGCTGTCGAATATTAGTTAAGCTTTTTTATTTATAATTTAGACAATACTTTTCCATAATGTTGTTAACTTCTTTAGCAAGTACAATGTACAGTATGCAATTACAATGGTATATTCTTTGAACATTTCACCCACTGCCTCCACATGTGGTGAAAATGGTGCTTGTAGTGAAACTTCTGGGATAACATGGATTTAGTAAGATTGGGATTAGACTCATTTCCTCCTGGTCTCTTGCGCGCGGGGCTCCAGTTGTTCAAACAGTGGATAATGTTATCCACCAGATAACACACTATCTGGTGGACAGCATAGTTTGTTTTTTCAATGCTTATCCACTTGATAGCAATTTGTCCGGTGGATAGCATTATCCAGCCTTCAAACAACTGGGTCCAGATTCACAAGTCTCAGGTTAGTATACATCGTAAATTTTGTGCCTTCAAAGAAAGCCTCTAGGTACTTAAGATACAGTTATCCTGGCAAGGAGGGTGCAGCAGGTTAATTTGATAATTATTTTTTTCGTGTTCCCTTTTACTCAGGTGGTGTCAACATCCAGTGGTCTCCAGTCTCCAAGAGACAGACTTCAAACCTTGGCAGTGGACTTAGCACAGAGGTGTGTATTTATTTAGTTTGGTTGTAGATAATAATAGCTCTGGGATTTCAAGCCATTTTAATAATAATAATAATAATAATAATAATAATAATAATAGTAATAATAATAATGATGATAATAATAATAATTTAATAACTTCTAGAGCACTATTTACATTTACTGATCAACAGCGCTTTACGACTTAAAATACTATTATTATATTTTTACTGCAGATTGCCATACTGTTGCCTTCTAACTTTTGTAACACAAACCATAGGACTAACAATCAGATTGCAAGAATAGTGGGAGTCACACACAGATGTCAATTGTCAGAACACACCATTTCTCAAAACATTGTCTCGTATTAATGCAAAATGAACATGAAAATCACAAACAGTCTTGAAATTTGAACAGCTTTCTGCCCATTATTTTGTGTGATTTGTTTATCCAAGCTCTAAACCTGAGAAATTTGTTTCATTACCTACAGAAAGTCATTGAGTCTATGTCATTGCAATTATCAAAATAATGAATTTTGTGTCATGAGGTGCACATTTATTTCTCCTTTAGATACAGAACTCTGGGTCACACAGCAAGCCAAAGTAGAACAAGCACATTTTTCTTGCTGTTGGATCTGATGCAGTTCTTTGACTTGTATCATGCTGGTCAGTTAGACACTGCTTTGGATGTAAGTGTTACTATAGAACTCTTATTTACAAGGATTTGTATTTGCCTTTATTTTCTATTGTTCTGTACGTTTACACTGGTAACATCAAAGCACTAATACAGCACATTGGCCAGGCAGTTACTGTACATGTAGATCTTGTAATGTCTTTGTAGGCAAGACACAGTTCTGTACTCTTGTAGTGACAGTGTCATTGCCAGTGTTGCAGCTTTTCAGGGCAAACTTCATCTTCACCCTTTTTAACAAGCCTACTGTCTGCCATGTAATATATCAAACACGAGAGACTGTTTCATTGGGATATCCAAACACAGAGAAGAGAGTTGAAAATACGACGCACAGTGGCGTGCATTTTATTTTTGATGAAATTTGAGGTGACTGGATAGCCATTGAAACACTGTCTCAAGTGTTTGATATATCTTCTCAGTCGAAACAAAAACTAAGGAGTAAATGGAGAACTAAAATCGTCAAAATCTATGCTAATTAAGACCAGGTATCCAAACCTCCTTCAGGGTTCCCGGTTGTGATTTTCTTTGTTTTAACTTGATCAATTATGAATGAGTTTGAGAAGTTTGGTTGTGAACATAATATAGATTGACTAAGAGAAACTACATGTATCCCAAGTTAGGAGAGTGGTCATTATTAAATGAATGAAGTCCATTCGCATGGTTAATCTTCATGGCAGGTGATGCATAAGCTGAGACTAGTTCCACTTGGAAGTGAATCAGTGGAGGAGAGAGTGGCCGCCTTTAGACAATACAACGATGAAGTAAGGAATTGAATTATATGTTTCTTTTAAGAGAAACACACTCAGCTCAGATTGTCCGTGGCTCTACCATCCTTTTAGTCACCATTCTCTTTAAAGCTCATCTGTTGTTGATGAGTTTAATGAGAAAAATTTGGGAGAGCAAGACAGTGTTGTTTATGGCAAATCCTTGCATGGTACATTTATGCTTAGAAGATCTCTTACTGTTTAGTTACTTGGAAAAGCATGTGCCTTCACTTAGTTATATTACATTTCCTTTATTGCATATTTGATACAGATTCGACGAAACTTACCAGATGTGCTTCTGGCAACGATGAACATTCTTTACACAAAGTATCGCAACACAAGGTCAGTAGACTTAATAAAAGGATTATCTTGTTTCATTTGTATCTTTTCTCTTCATTGTTGTAAGACATAGCAAATTGTTCAAATTTTTTTCTGTCCATTTGTTGTCTTCAGAGGGAGTACTCAGAGCCCTTTAATCGACAGACAAAGAGATGATGGTGGCCAAGAAAGGGTAAGGATGTTTGAGCAAAACATTTGTTAGACATGATATAAATGTTATGTTTTTGTGATGAACACAGTTACCCACAAATTGAGGGATACCGCAGAAATAAAACCTTTTAACTCTTTCACTCCCAGAAGTGATGGATTTGTAAATTCTCCTCACAATGCTAATACATTTTCAAGCAGATGGGTGATAAGAAAAAAGAAATTAATCAACTTTGAGATGTTGTTTTGAGTCACCAGTAAAATTAACACAACTAAATTCAAATGAAATTGTTAGCAGTCAATAAGGAGAATTTGCATTCAGATCTTGCGAACGAAAGGGTCTTGATTAATCTAGACAAACACCAAAAACAAAGATGTCTAATGGCTTGAGATGGAATGGGTAAGCCAAAGGAGATATTGTTTTGACGTACCATCAAATTTTCTGAGCTAACATCGAAAGCAAAATATAACAGTCACTAAGGGGAAATGGTATTTCAGGACGTCTTAAGTTTCTTCACTGCACCTGCCACAGGTCATGAAAACGCCAAGGGATTATTTCATTCAGTGTCTGGTTAAGGAAATTCCAAACTGCATTCTCTTGTCAAAGTCGGGATTTCATTCAATCGTTCCTATTAGTGATACATGTAGTGAATGTTCTGGTCGGTGAAAAATTAGGGAAGTTTGGTGTTCTTCACCGATGGGACCATTTGAAAGCTACACAACCAGTAGTCACACTTGCATAGTACTGTGGATCTCTCCTAACCTACTGACTCCTGTGCCGGCCGTAACCGGCCGTGACGAGCGTTGGCCTTTGTTCCACTTCTGACGTCATCACCTTTTACCAAAATTAGCATCATCTATACTCAAGTTCTGCAGGAGGAAACGATCTTTCCAGTGATACCCAGATCAGAGTGATTGGCTCAATGGAGCCCGAGATATGCACGAAAATGCTCAGAAATTTGAGTGAAAAACTCGGAGCAAAATTTCCTGCAACTACACTTGGCTACTCCATGGTAAAAATTGCCCGTCTCGATGATGCTTTCTCAGAAAGTTTTGAATTGAAAGCAACCCCAGTAGAAGGTCAATCTGCCGCAAAAAGATAAGAAAAGGAGAAAAAGGAAAGGCGAAAAAACATTTTAAAAAACCGCCCATGCCCGAGCAAAAATGTCGTAAAATACGGTGCTAGTGGAAAGAAAGGTATACTGTCATGTTGCAAATGCCTTCTTGAGTAGATTAGAGCTAATTTGGCTTATATCCAGGTTGAAAATCTCCAAAATGTTCAAAAATGCGTATTTGGCAAAAAGCTCCGGGAGTCAATGGGTTAAGTGAACGCCATTGGGGCCAGAAAGTGTTTAGCCGAATGGGTGTCCACTCATCAGAAATTAAAAAAAAATGTATTGTTTCTATGAGGCCAAGTATCCGCTTATTGTAGGTGTCAGTTAGCAAAGCTTAACACCTAATTTCTTTTCAGTATCGGGACATTTTGAGGCGCCAAGCCCGAGCCTTGATCACATTCGCGGGATTGATCCCGTACCGTCTTCCCGGAGACACGAACGCACGCCTCGTTCAGATGGAAGTCCTCATGAATTGAAGCATCCTACCAAGCCCCCCTCAGCTAACAAGCTGGTGCCCAGTTTCCTGGCAGTTTTTGAAGCGGGGAATGGTACGTCAAACGTCAACTGTAAGGTAAAATGACGTGAGCGAGTTCAGTCGCCTTCCATTACCGACGGTCCTCTCAGCCCTTTGGAACCAAGAGCATTCATTCTTTTTCTGTTCCATCATAATTTACCTTCCCTGTAAAAAGGATTGATCTGAAACGTGGATAAGCGTGCAAGTATAAATGTTTACGGTACAAGTTCAGTTTATTGCAGACTGAAAACAAAATCGATTACATTTCTCATAGCAAAACAGTTTTGTAATTTTGACGATACTGTACAGTTTGTAGTCTTAATTGAATAAAAAGTATATATATGTTCTTGATTGTCTCGTATTGAATAACTTCATCAACCTTGCATTTACATTGGTAGTTAAAAGTTTACACCATCAAGTTTGCGGTCTCGTGGTGACCCAGAGGAAGTTAGTTGGGGCGGAACGAGGTAAACTTGGCAAATATCCTAGCGGCAAGAGTTTTCAAGAACTGTTCCTCCATCCGTTCTTGTAAACTTTTGCTTCTACTCTGCTGTTGCCGCTACGCTAGCCTGCGGCCCTGGATGTTTCTTACTTTTCTTATAGTTTGTCGCTGGTCTTCGAGTTGTCACACGACGCTTTTCGCACTCATTGCGTGACAGTGACGACCCCAGTTAATCCGTTAAGGAAACTACAAACTTAAGGATTAGAAATGCTCGCGGCCAAGTTATTTTGCTTTACCTTTTGGGCGATTTTCCGTGCTTTTCTTAAAGCTTGACCGAAATCAAAAATTCTTGTTTTCTCTTGCTATCTCTTTAACTGTGCGATAGAAATGTTATGCAAATGATTTTAAAAACCCAGACATTTTTGTCTCTGGTGTTAACATTGACATGATTGTTTTCTGATAAGTAAGTAATGACAGCATCGTGCATAATACACTTATCTGCTTGACGAGTTTTCTTTCTGTAAACTCCTATTATTTTCATACTATAAATGGTCGATCACTTAGCTTGGATGTTGTTGCCTTTACGACAGGCAAACGGACTGAAAAAAATCTTTTAACATAATAGGAGCCCACTATTCGCGAGGTATTTATACTGACGATATTTGGCTCCTTGGCGTTGGGATTGGCGGCTTTCCTTGCGAGCGACTGGCCAATCGTTGTACTGCTTCGTTGTGCATAAATGCCTGGCTTGTATCTCCAGAGATATTTTGATATGGCAGCGTAGCTGATCTCGCGGATCCCAGAGCGAGGTTTACATAGGGAGGCATTCCCACTCTCCGGCTCATTTCCCCATTCGACTTTGGGTAGCTTGAGCCGACTGCGGAAGTAAGATCCGTGGAAAAAGTTGTAGGTCTTTCGTGAGAGGATGGCAAATTGACATAAGGGACGTGAACGCGACCACCTTCAGCTCGTTCTCTTTTCACAGCTTCGGTCAGCTCCATCCATTCATCGTCGGACCAGTTTATTTCTAGAATTGCCTTCCTCAGATTATTTTTGGCCTCCCTTTCCGTCAGCTCCTCGCCGAAGGCGTCTGTGAAATAGTTCTGACAGCTCGGGCATATTTTGTTGAATTCCTCATGGCGTGGTTCTCTATCGTCGCTTTCTCTTCTGCCAGTACCACGACCGCTGTCACTCTGGCAACTATAGCCAAGCGGCCTAACTGATTCTGAATCATTCGCGTTGCTGGCAGGGCGTGTAGGTCCGTCGTTGGGTATCCCATGTCCTTCGCTGGTTTCGCCGCGGCAAGGATCACTGTCTCCGTGTTCCAATGGATTCTGGTATTGCCAGGCTCTGGAGCTTTCTCTAAATCCGAAGTGATGTGGCTCAGGCAACCCCAAAGCTTCTTGATCTTCCGGTGTGTTCGCCGGTGTGAAAGGTAGCGTCTTGTCTGGAATCTGGCTGTCTTGTGTTTCGACCTCTCTTTGATTCTTTGGCCAGTCTTTTCCACCATCGTTAGAGCTCTTTTGTTGGCCATTTGCGAACTCTCTGTTGCTGTCGGATGTAGGGGCCGTTTCCACACCCCTTGGTCGCTGGCTTTCTAGGCGAGATATGTGGACTAGCGCTTTCGTTAATTTCTCTTGTGTTTGCAGGTACTTTGTAATGCTACTCATGCACTCAAAGTCATCATCTCGTGGGCTAGATATTAGAATGTCTTCACACGAAGCTGCGTGTCTCGGTGGAATTTTCATGGATTTGCTTTTTGTTTTCAACACTTGCCCTTTGTCCTTTTTCGCGGACTTGCTCCCATCCTGACGAAACCACCTTGGTTTCCGAGTCAAGGAATGGAAAAAATTCTTCTTTGGGTTGTCTACGTTTGTGCGACTAAATTCCCCTTCGCTATTTCCTTCAGGACTTTTCAATTCTCCTTGCTGAACACTGCCTGCACTTTCGACACTGCTTTGTTGACACCGATACACATTTGAGGGGTAGTCATCAGATAGCTCTTCAGGATAACTGAGGTCGAGGTTTATATTGGTGCTATTTTCCTCGTCGCTTTGTTCAGGGGAGGACCTATCGCACTTCTGCTGCTCTCTTTTTGTAGCTTTTTCGCTGGTTTCTGTGCTGAAATTTTGGCTCAAATCGTTTTCCATGGAAAGCAAAGGCTTCCTCGGCAGGTGGGGTTCATGCACCTCGTCCGCTGTTTGAGATCTGATTCTCGGAAAACTGCGGGACAGTTGACACGGTGTCTGCGTCGGTTGGAAGGACTCAACTAAGCTTTGTTTAGGTCTGCTGTCCGTATTGACTCCTGCTACCAAAGTCAAATTTGCATTTACTTCAACTTCTGGTTCGTAAGCAGCTTTCTCGCTTTCAGATAAATTGTCACCTAAGATGTGCATCTTGGAAGATGAAGTTACGTCAGGCTGCCAAAGTGTGTTTTTGCTGGACTGATCGGGAGGCCAAAATAAGCCTTGATCATGAAGGTCATTCTGTAAACAGTATGTTGGTGCTTCCTGTTTACCGGGTATTTCGAAAGAAGTCCATTTCTTTTCACTTTCCCGCTTACTTTCGTTATCGTGAACTTGATTCTTTTTGGAGGAAACATGACATTGTGTCGCAATCAAGGTCATCTTTGGTGGAAGAGGAGGTGCCTCGTTTTCCGAGAAACTATCTGACTGGATTCCGTCGCATTTAAATGTAGGCTGTTGCTTTTGAGCTGTGGAGTGAAGCCCCAGGCGAAAGAAGTCTTGTTTTTGTGCTCTTGCATCTCCCCTTCCGGTCGTTACCACTCTTTGTTTTCTGGTGAAAGGGAAAGAGACAAACTGTAACATTTCCAAACCGTACCTCTTCACGGGGTCGCTTGTAAAATAAACACAGTCCTCGCTCAACCTGCTGTGCAGGACTTCGTCATTCTCTATTGCGTTCACAAGTTGTTTGTATTCAGCTCCACTGGAAGAGAGAAAGTCCTTCTGAGGCATGAATTGGGCAACAGAAATATCCAAAGTACTCGGTAACATTAAAATGCTGTTCCCTTTACGACGAGAAATTGCGAAAACTGTATCCCCTTCAATTTCGCGCTCGAGGTGAATATTTCCAATTGTATCAATCGGCAATGGTGTACCATGATTGCAAACGTTATCCACCGTAGTTCGCTCCAAAGCCACCACACGCACCTCGACCGGAAGTGCAGATTCTTTTAGAACTTCGTCAATGGAAAAGATTCCATATTTAGAGAGAACCTGAAACTTGCCTTCCACGCTTGCTGGCAAATCGACGTACACGGGATCTTTTAAGCTCACGAGGAGACAACGGACATCACATCCGTTAGAATACGGACGCTCCCGACTTAACTGCAATACGTCTCCAGCGAGAAGGCCGAACGATGTGATATTTTCAAGAACACGGATGTAACGAGAGGGAAGTGCTACCATTGGGTCCAATGTGCTGAACTCCTCACGGGAAGCATCTGGAACCAACATCTCCACTTTCAAGTCGCACGTTCGAGAGAAGCAAAGTCCTCTTCCGTTGCTTACTTTGCGTGCCAATATTTTCTTTTTTCTTTCCACTTTGAAGATGATCAGGACCTCTCCTGTCTCGACGCTTTGATCCGCTGATGTTCCATGAAAACCCTGTCCAACTTTGACAATCTGAGGAAGCTTGGTTCCGTGAAGTGCGATGAAATCGTCAAGTCGATGACAACGCATCTCGCGGCTAATTGTTGTTGGTGCTTTTGCCATTCTTGTTTATTTGTGATGTGCTGTTTCTTGCACACAGTATAACACGATGACCACTAAATGATTTGTTGTTTACAAACTGTTAAAGGCTACCCACTTAAAAGCGTTAAGTTGCTTTTGTTTCGGAGCAATGTGAGTTGTTTTGGTTTCGAAGCCAGTCATGCAGTCCTCGACTGCTTTGTTTTGTCTTTGTACGCAAATCTCTGCCGTGTCTTTATATAGATAGCGCGCTGCGGGGGAGAAGTCAAATTCTTGGAAACTTTAGAGTTTAGGGTCATAAGGAACATGAAAATATTTCTATTGCTGTCTCTGTGGCCATTAGTTGTTATTTGAGTCATTTCAGCAATATTAACGTCTTGAAGACCCTATTCCAAAACTTCAATCCTTTGATTAGCCTACTGAACATAAGTACAAGATTTCTCGTCCGTGGAGTGTGTAGTTTTGATAGATCCCAAAGCTCAGTGCAGCAGTGCAATGGCCGGAAGTGCATTCGATTCCAAGAACCGATGTCATTCATCAATTCAAGTGTAAATGTTTCGTAAGAAGAACAAATTGCCCTTGTTGAATGTTTCTAATTGAAACAAAGGAAATTAAGCTCAAAGAAAAACAAATAAACATTTATTGAAGCGAAAACTCCCAAAGGTCACGCAATTTCTCGTGAACGGGCAATATAAACACTGTCAAGGAATACTGCTGATAAGAATATCAACTAGCGGATGTTATCTTGATGTAACTCGAAATTCTCATAACTGAAATTTCAAAAAATGTAAGGGAATCAGTAAGGAGAATTCGTATGTATTTCGAAATTGTGACCGTGAAGGTTGATAGGTTTGTTTAATTTCCTTCATGAAGAGTGTTCCGCTTTAGGATTTTGAGGTAGAAATTGCAATGCACTTGAGTAAGAGAAGTTCAACTATTGCTGATGTTGTTTTTCCTTCTTTTTTTCCCACGCGTAAGTGTCTTAGTGCTTTTTATACGGAGTTACACAATAATCTGTTCACAAAGCGAGCGCACGATTGCGCGAGAGCGTAAAACGCGAGAGCGAACTTTGGCGTGCGTTCAAAAGAGTGAAGTGTAGGGGCGTCTGAGATCCCGCGGGTATATTTTTCTCAGTCGTTAGCAGGAAACGTTTGGAACCTTGGGCGTTTATCTTTTTGGGGGATCTACAGGAAA